GGGGTCCCAGACTGCGAGAGGGCACAGGCCGGGCTGAGGGGCCCCCCCCCCCCCAGTGCACAAATTTTTGTGCACCGGGCCTCTAGTATAGCTATAAAAAGAGTATTATCATAGACATCTTCAGTAATCATAAGCAGTTGGACTATTAGCAAAACCCAAAGAACAAGTATATAATTATAATATATCATTAGCATACAGGTAAAAACAAACTGGTTTCTGAGTTTAGCATTGATCTGAAGATATACAGACACAGGCCTTGTCAGTGTCTTGGGAGAGCTGTCTATCTCTGATGTCAGTGGCTTCTCGTTCTAGAGGAGTCTTTGATGTCTGTTGTAGGCGGAGGCAAGTGTCAGAGATGGGTAGATGTCTGTTTGTGGTTAGGTGCTGATAAGGTCCCTTCCAGTGAGGTTGGAGAGTGTGTTTTATTTCATGTCCTTTCCAGTAAACAAAATCTCTAGGTGGTAGTTAATGATTCTTAGTCTTTTGTCTTCTGGTTGCTTCCTGGGAAAGGAAGCGGTTACCCATTTGGCATTTTCTGGTAGTGACTTTATCAAACCTTGACAATAGTGTAAGCTGTCTCCTTTCAATAATGGCAGCTCATAAGTTCCTTCATCTAATCTAAGTCCAGCTTGAATGCAGTATGAGCCATGAAGGAATGTATAAATACTGAAAAAAATGGTGTTTGCCAGGGAGCCTCAAAGAACCAAGTAGCCATCTTGGGTTTCCCATATCCCCAACTATTCATTTTATTTACAGCCATTTTTTACCCTGGTAGCATACCTTAGAAGTCTTTCATCACTTATTTTACAGTGCTTCCCATGCAATTTAACATACAAAAACAGTCCTGATTAGTTTAAAACGTCTCTGTTGTAAGAAGAGAGGATAGATCTTTTTGAGTTGTCCCAGGGTTCATTTTGGAGCACAGGAACTTATTCCTACATATGTTGAGATTTTAACCCTTAAAACCTTAATTTCCAATGAAAAGTAAGAAGTAAATTTATGAAGACATTTTTATAAACTCTAGAAACATTTCATAGATGTAAAAGTCAATTATTAACATGGACTTACTTTTATAAAACCCTGGATAAAACATAATATAACTGTATTATATTTAAAATATCAACTCAAAAGACATGTCTGTTCTACCTAAACCAACAAACTTAAACTAGCTTTTATTTATTAAGGGTTAATCTAAGATCATGTGACCTTACAAAGCATATGAGTTAGTTTCTATATTTCTGAGAATTTTGAAATACCCAATCACAAGTGCTTGCCTTTAAATTATTTTTAATAATACCATCCGGAGGTAGAAAATTATCTCACATTTTCAGTGTTCACATGTAGTCACAAACAGAGACCTTTGGCTATGAGAAAAACTCTCTAATGTGTAAAAAAACAGTTGGACCCAAATTTTGTTTTGAGGCATTTATAATTTATATTGTTGATGTAAGAAATGTCTAAATCTGTGGAGGATTTTTATAAGCCTTTATTTAAGCCAAAACTGACAGCAATTGCTGGAAAGCAAGATCTCAAATGCTCGGAAGAATAATAGTTTTTGCAGTTTCTTTTATGCATTTGACATTAAGGAGAGAATGCAATTACCGAAGATTACCTGAAGTTGGGAGAAAACAAGGTACAGTTAACAAGATTATGTGCTCTCTTGAGGGAAACTATGCTTATTTCAAAGGTGTATTAACCTGGATACACAGAAAAATACACAGGGCTTGCTTAAGGCAAAGATAAATCTTTCACTAAAGAAGTTATATGCTTCCCAGCCAGTGTGGTCAGTGGTTGAGCGTCGATTCATGAACAAGGAGGTCATAGTTTGATTTCCAGTCAGGGCACATGCCAAGGTTGTGAGCTTGATCCCCAGTGGGGGTCGTGCAGGAGGCTGCAGATCAGTGATTCTCTTTTATCATTGATATTTCTATTTCTTTTTCCCTCCTGCTTCCTCTCTGAAATCAATAAAAAAACAAACAAACCATATTTGGAAAAAAGAAAGTTATATGCCTGGAGCGTGACTACCCACCATGACCTGCTCATTTAAGATTTTATGATCAGATCTTCTTGTGAGATTATATTTCATCACTGAACTTGTATATACCCACCCCCCCTCCTTTTTTTTTGTCCACAATGGCTTCCTGTAAATGGGAACATAGATTTTCTTTAGAAAACTTATTGTTTTCTACAAAGAATTAAGAGTTCTTTGCTGTGGGTATGTCAGGAAGCAGCTGGGTCTAGTCCAGTCCTTTTTTCCAACCTGTGTCTGTTTCCTCACTTGTCCAATAATGGCTTTGAACTAGAGAATTTCTAAAAAAAACCTAACTATTGTTTTGTGATTCTTTTTAAAAGAAAAATGTTTTTATTGATTTCAGAGTGGAAGGAAGAGAGAAAGAGGGAATCATTGATTGGCTGCCTCTTGCTGGCCCCCTACTGGGAATCGAGCCTGCAACCCAGGCTTGTACTCTGACCTGGTATCAAACCATGACCTCCTGGTTCATGGGTCGATGCTCAACCACTGAGCCATACTGGCTGGGCTATTTGGTGATTCTTGAAATATACTATATTTCATTTAAAATAATTTAAAAATTATATTTAAAATAATATTAACTTTGAAACAGTAGAATGTCTTAACTGTAACTTTTCTTTTTGCATTTCTCCTGGGTCCAACCAACAGTGTTTATTGGCCCTTGTTCGTCCTGATATTTCACGCCATCTCTCCCATTCCTCATTTCATTGCCAAAAGAGCAACATATGACTCTGATGCAACAAGCAGTGCCTGTCGGGAACTGGCATATTTTTTCACTACTGGAATTGTTGTTTCTGCCTTTGGATTTCCTGTTATTCTTGCTCGTGTGGCTGTGGTGAGTTTTGTTCTCTATTGTTTTGCCCAGTTGTCACTGAGTTTACTTCAAAGGCCTCTGTCTGGACCACTATTTCATTTTCATTGCTTAGACTTAATACTCAAAGCCAGGCATATTTTCAGTTAATCTAGTCCACATTTTAGATCTACCTAACAATATCCTGGCCATATTTACAGAATGCTTTCTTAGTTTCTCATAACTTTTAGCCAGGCCAAATGACTTCTTGCTTTCTCTACTTTAAGCTATTACCTGGAATTGTTCTTAAGTCCTTGCCTTCTATCTTAGGGCAGTCCATAGAGACTGCAATAACAATACTTTTCTAGTTTCAAAATGAACATCTAAATGAGTCCTGATCACCCAATTTCAATGTGTGTGGTGTGGGAGTTTCCCCCCACACCCCCAACGAGCAATTCTCCAACACCAGCGGGGTGTCCAACAATTCATCTTGATTCCGACACTGTCTACCCAGAAATAGTATTAGATCCCACATGTTAAGGGTTTAGTCCCACATGACTGCCCTCTGTTTCAGTTGCCAATCAAAAGTCCAGGTTGTCACTTGTGCTTCTGACTGATTGGCTATAGATCAGAGGTCCCCGTGACCCTTATCTTCAGTTTAATTGATTTGTTCACAGAATTCAGGAAACCCATTTACTCACTGCGTTACTAGTTTAATTACAAAAGGAACAGCCTGATGGGAGTGCTGCATAGAGGAGTTTCCAGAATGCGTCACTCTGCCCCAATCACCAGCCTGGAAGTTCTCCAAATACCTTCATTTTGGGTTTTTATGGAGGCTTTATAACATAGGCATGATCAGTCAAATCATTGGCCACTGGTGATTGAATCAATCTCCAGCCCCCCACCCCCTTTTCCCTTCCCCAAAGGTCAAGGGAGAGTGGGACTAAAAGTTTTGTCCCTCTAAGCACATGCTTGGCCTCTCTAGCAACCAGCCCCCATCCCTTGGTGCTTTCCAAAAGTCACCATCCTATATAATAAAAGCCTAATATGCTAAGGGTCCGGTCATCTGTTCAACCAATCAAAGTGTAATATGCTAATAATATGCTAAGGCCACTCAACCGCTCACTATGGCGTGCACTGACCACCAGGGGGTAGATGCTCCGACCGGTAGGTTAGCTTGCTGCTGGGGTCCAGCTGATCAGGACTGAGTGAGATGGGCTGGATACGCCTTGGAGCCCTCCCGCAGACCCTCTCCGGCTGGCCAACCTGCTGCGTCCCTCCGGCCCAATTGTGCACCGGTGGGGTCCCTTGGCCTGGCCTGTACCCTCTTGCAATCAGGGACCCCTCAGGGAATGTCATAGAGCCGGTCCTGCAGGCCAGGCCTCTAGTATTAACATAATAAAAGTCACCTTTATCACTATTATCACTTAGAAAATTCCAAGTGTTTTTAGAAGCTATGTGCCAGAAAGGAGAAGATCAAATATATCTAATCTAATAAAAGAGAAACATGCAAATTGCCTGTACCCTCTTGCAATCAGGGACCCCTCAGGGAATGTCATAGAGCCGGTCCTGCAGGCCAGGCCTCTAGTATTAACATAATAAAAGTCACCTTTATCACTATTATCACTTAGAAAATTCCAAGTGTTTTTAGAAGCTATGTGCCAGAAAGGAGAAGATCAAATATATCTAATCTAATAAAAGAGAAACATGCAAATTGACCGCACCTCTGCTATGCCCCAAGCCACACCCACCAGCCAATCAGAGCGACTATATGCAAATTAACCCAACCAAGATAGCGGTGGCCAGCAGCCACGGAGCTGGAGCAAGCAGGAGGCTTGGTTGCCCAGGCGATGGAGGAAGCCAAGCTTCCCGCCTGCCCTGGCCTGCTGTGGCCTCCGCTCAAGGCAACAAAGTTTCAATTATAGAAGATAAATAAATCCCAGATACCTGCTTCCAGCCAGCCTCCACTGGGAGCTTGGGTGGCTGGGGGCCGTGGCCAGCCTGCAAACAGCCATCAGCCCCTCACCCAGGCTGGCCAGGGCAAACCATCCGGCCCCCACCCATGTACCAGGCCTCTATCCTATATAATAAAAGGGTAATATGCAAATTGACCCTAACAGCAGAACAACTGGGAATGACTGGTCACTTTGACACACACTGACCACCATGGGGCAGAAGCTCAATGCAGGAGCTGTCCCCTGGGGGTCGGTGCACTCCCACAGGCGGAGCTCTGCTCAGCCACAAGCCAGGCTGACGGCTGCCAGCGGTGGTGGGGGGAACCTCTCCCACCTCCTCAGCAGCGCTAAGGATGTCCGACTGCAGCTTAGGCCTGCTCCCCGCTGGCAAGTGGACATCCCCCAGAGGGCTTCCGGGCTGCCAGAGGGATGTCTGACTGCCAGTTTAGGCCCAATACCCTGGGGAGTGGGCCTAAGCCAGCAGGTGGACATCCCCCGAGGGGTCCCAGACTGCGAGAGGGCACAGGCTGGGCTGAGGGACCCACCCGAGTGCACAGATTTTTGTGCACCAGGCCTCTAGTATTATTATAAAACACAGTACCATAATATCATATCAAATTCTTCTTCAGTAGGATCATGGACACAATCCTCAAGTCAGCACAGTAGGTATATGTTGAGGGACAACTGACTATATAGCTATTAGAAAATAGAGTGAATAAAAAACACATTGTGGGTGTATTTATTCCATTCTTTGACATTCAGTGTCTTTTATACTCTATTTTTTAAATTTTTTTTTAAATGGTGATTTTTTTATATTCTTTATTTTTATTCCCCCAATTACATACTCTTTCAATTTCATGAAACTTATTGGGGCATTGAATATCAGATATGTACAAGTCTTATTTATTCATTTAGTAAATATTTTTGTAACATCTGCTATTTGTCAGACACCAGGAATAAGAGCCAGATGCTGTCTCTGTTCCCAAAGAGCACAGAAACTAACCTGATGGATAAGCATATAATACCGTAAATGCACTATGTGGTAATTAAAACAGTATCAGAATGCCTTGGGAACACTCAGAGAAATACTATCTGGCATTTGATGTGGTTTTTGATAAATCGGGTTTTGATTAAAGTAGGGAAGGCTGTTAAATGGAATGGCATCCAACTGTGGAAATGCAATTAATATGTGGAATAAAGAGCAGTAGTCCAATATGATGGAGCAAAAAGGTGTAATTGAGATTGAGGTTAGAAAGGTTGGTGAAGCCTGATCAGGAAGGGTTTTGAATGTCCTACTAGTTTGAACTTTATCTAGATAATAGAGAAACATCAATGGTGTTTGAATGCAAGATTGTCATGACCTTATTGTTTTTATACCTCAGACTAAATATTTCTTAAATTTTGCTGTAAAGATTTGTATTTTTACCTTTCATTACTACATCATGTTATATGAAGCAACTTCCATTGTTGTTTTCTATTGGTTAAATTAAAACAAAAAATGCCCACTAGAGGGTACTCTCATCCCCAACTGTACCTCTGTAAAATCATCTGCCACGCTGGGAAGCTGTTTTCATTTGCATGCAGATTATTTTTAAAAATCTTTTCTTGCCTAGAAAAGAAACAAATCCATAATTCTCTAATTCCTGTTTTCGTGAAAGAAGGCAATGTGTATAGAACTTTCAGTACCCAATGTTGCAATTGGACCTTTTATAATAAGCTGCGTGTATTTTACTTAAGGCCATCATTGTCTGCTGAAAGCAAGTAGAGAAATATGTCTAATGGAGAAAATGTTACGGATGATACTAGACTTAATTAACAAGCATCATGAAGTAATTAGACTAATTACTGAATAGTTCACTGTCTCCTGCCTGTTACATTAAGCCTTTTAGCAGTTTTATGTAATATTTCATTGAATTTTTCTAATGTAGAAAATAACAGATTTACAAAGAATGTAATATGATGAAAGTAAATATTTAATCCTTTTTTCTTGTGTTTCAGATCAAATGGGGAGCGTGTGGCCTTGTGCTGGCAGGCAATGCAGTCATCTTCCTTACAATTCAAGGTTTTTTCCTTGTATTTGGAAGAGGAGATGATTTTAGCTGGGAGCAGTGGTAGCACTATATTCTGATAAAACGCATTTAATTTCTTATAATTCATACTATATGTGTGTGCACATGTGGCTTTTTGCTATGAAATTCAATATGCTGGGTTTTTTTTTTTTTATACTTTTATATCATGTTCACTTTAAGGAGGACTGTATGAGAAAGAGATTTGTTTTAGTACCAGCAAATAGACCACTCCATGTACTCACGTTGAATTACGTTACTTGGCTCTTCATATAGTCATGGTGCTCTCAGAAAATATATTAACACAGTCTTGTAGCCAGCTGCTCACATATGCAATGCATCTACACCTTTTGCCTGGGGATATGCTTGGATAGGAGCAGGTCTCAGTTCTGCTCAAGATTTCAAGATACACTTGTGGCCCAGAGACACAGAGGTGGCTCCCTCTTTGTGTGGTAGACCCTTGCTTCTCAGAGTGTGGTCCATAGACCAAGAGCATCGGCATCTCCTAGGCACTTACTACAAATGCAGAATCTGAGGCCCCACCCCAGACCCAGTGCATTTTGATGAGACCCCCAAATGAATTGGATGAGAAGCGCTGTCATAGAGGACTAAGTATCATACACAGTTTCCTTTTCTTCCCCTTGCAGAACCCCTTAACCTCTGCTCATTTATGAAAATTGTTTCACCTGCCCCCATGTTGAGGCCTAGTTCAGACTCGCTTTGGTATTTGTGAAATGTCCTCACCTGTAATGTGTAGGCTGTTCCTCAAATTTATGAAGTGTTCTCAGGAACCAGTCCCTGCTTTAACAGGATGAGGAAGACTAGATAGGTGATTCCATTTAGTTTCCCTTTATTATCCGACACTTCTGTCCCATTCCTTCCTGTGCTGCTCCTCCTCCCCTCCCCAAACACATACTATCAGCAGTTCTGATTGGTCCTTGCTTCTTCATGGCTGTGGTCCATCCTTTCTATAGAGACATGGAACCAGGTAAGCAAGCAGAGGGTGAGCTGCTTAATTTTCCTTACATGCTGATGTACTTACTGTCTTTTATGTCCTGTAGGACTTTTTATAAGGATAGTAACACTTTAGGCCACTTTTAAATGAATCATGAGGAATACATGTCATGCTGGATCCTATAATCACAGTCTTTCTAGCTCAACTTGATGTCCAAGAGAAAGGGAAATATGGGAATTAGAACCACTTAATCAGAATAGTAGAAGCAGTGATTTTAGAGTATTGTTAATGTGTGATAACTGACATACATTAAAAACACTGACCCTTTAAGTTTGTAATCTGAGTAATTAGCATATCCTTTCATATTCTGGAATCATACTGAGACCAGAAGAAGATAAAAGTGATCCCTAAAAGGACAGTATGCAAAGTTACATTTTGACCTTGTGCATGATTTTATGTTTTCAGTGTTCTGTGTACATATAGAATTGTTGAAGTTATTATTTCCAATATTTATATTAGAAAAAATATATAGACACTTTATAATTTTAACCAGCATTTTTAATAACACTTGCACTTATTGTATTGTAATAAATTTCACTTTAAACACAAAAGAAAAGTTTACTTTAAAAGTCTTTTTTCTGATGTAGCCTTACTTAAAAGATAACAAAAGAGTGAGAATTTCTTGGTGTTCTGAAATAGACAGTTTTGAGTGATAATCTGCCCTGCAATAGAATAATAGCAATAAGAGTTAAGATTCCATTTTGAATGTCTAGTTGGCTTACAATAGCTTTTCCTAAGATGGAAATAGTGTTTAATTATGTTACCTTTTGCAAAAAAATGTCTTTGTTGCTTGCACAATAATCCAGGTAGCCTTAATGTGTAGCCTTAAAGCATTGCCTCTTGACTGTATTTCCAGAATATAAAGTACTTGCCTATAGAATATTTGTAGCTATTCCCTAATAATGTAATGGTTTGTTGAAGTGGTAGATTATTCAATTTGCTCTATTGTCTGAAAACAGAGACATTCCATCTCTTTTCCTAAGAACAAGGTCTGTCTTCCATTTTTGCAGCCCTTTCTATCCCCTAATGCTGTTAGGGCCCAGGTATACTCCTGTGAGGTTTGCCTTTCCTGGATCAGGGCCCTTCTCCTAGCCTTCTCTACCTCCTGGGGTTCTTCATATTCCAAAATCACCCACCTTCCTACTACCAATCAGTTTTCTTAGTATAGCTGATATCATGTGGTGATCAGAAGAAAACAATCTGATCAAACTCCTTTCCAAGAAAGAATGAATGACTTGGGATCATCTTCCCCTCGTCTGAAACTCACCAATACCTGCATGATGCAGTTGCCACACAATGCTGCAGCTGCATTTTTACAGGGCCATGCCTCAGAACCCAGTGACTTTCACAGAAAATGGCAATGCTTCAAAGTAAAGTGGAAAAGCATCCCAACAATTTATAGAAGGGTAATGATGTTTTGGGGACAGGGGCAACCCTGTCACATTCACCCCTTCCTCGGGGTGAATTCTCAGCTGGTCCTGCTTTCCATAGTTGTTTCTTTTACTCCACTTATAAACCCACATATTTTATTTTATTGATTTTAGAAGAAGGAAGGGTGAGAGAGAGAGAGAGAAACATCGATTGGTTGACTTCTGCACACTCCCCACCAGGGATCGAACCCACAACCTGGGAATCAAACCGCCACCTTTTGGTGCACAGGATGATGCTCCCACCAACTGAGCCGCACCGGCTAGAGCCTCAGATTGTTCTTACCATCTCCTCTTAGGTATTTTACCTCTGCGGTGTCTTCTTCATGAAGAGTCTTCCCGAGTGTAGCTGGAATGTTATATGAATAACATTCCTTATGCTCTCAGGGAAATGCTTAGATGTCACAAAAATGTGCATTTCAAAGTTTGTAAAATTTACATTTTGCACCATAATTTAACTGAAATATTTATGAGGATGCTAGCATTTTCCAAGCATAGTAATTAGTTCACAACTGAGAAATATTTCTGTAGATGAGTATAAGTTGTGCAATTACATTATTTCTTGACAGTCTGCCTCATGAAGTACCTTATTTGCAAAAATTCTGGTGTGTAATAGCTCATGACTTACTGGAGGAGAGCAGTGATACATGTGGCCCCAAACATAATGTGAAAAACCCAAGACTGCTTTAGAATACTTTATTATATATGTATGATGAGGACGATTACTTTTAAAATAAAACTTGTCATTTATACTTAAAAAAGACTTGTATGTACATTATTAAACTAACATGTTTGTGTTTTGCTTTGGGATACATTATATTTAGAAAAGAGACCAGCAGATTTATTTTCCCAGTGTTTTTGTTTGGGTAATCTTCATGTGAGTTCGACTAGTTTTGAGCCTATATTCACTGTAGTTGAAGCAAAGCAGTCCAGGAATGTGTGCTAACTGGAAGGAATCCAGTCCCTAATTATAGCTTTGCTGTGGCTAACACTCCCGGGTGGAGTTGGGTGTGGGGGACATGGTTAATCAAGAGTTTACTGCATTGGAAAAGGGAGACAGACTCAACACTTAAAAAAAGTTCTGTACCTGTCCTGAAGAGTCTTCTTGTGCACTACAGAAAAGCACCGATGTACTAATAAAATACTACTGAAGAAATAGTGTGTCCTTAGGCACTAAACATGTGGGGAAGACCTGATGCTTTGCAGGTGGATTTAGGCAGCTAGATTAGGAAGAAACTGAGTTAGATATTTCTTTGTGTTGCCCAACCAAGCGTAAAGTTAAATTTTTATAGAAATTTGATAAAACCAATATAACGAAAATGCCCTTAAGAAGGAACAGTTCCTAAGAAGATGTCTCGTCCAGGGCTTGTACATACGCATTTTCATTTATCGGGATGAATCTAGATACTTCATCTGGGGCTGAGAATGAATGTGTCTGGAGAAAGCATGTACCTACCTATTATTTAAAAATAGCATCTGGCCCTAGCCGGTTTGGCTCAGTGGATAGAGGGTCGGCCTGTGGACCAAAGCTTCCCAGGTTTGATTCCAGTCAAGGGCACGTACCTTGGTTGCAGGCTCTTCCCGGGCAGGGGCACATGCAGGAGGCAACCAGTTGATGTGTTTCTCTCACATTGATGTTTCTCTCTGTCTTTCCCTCTGTCTTCCACTCTCCCTAAAAACAAAACAAAACACAAAAAATCAATGGAAAAATATCCTTGGGTGAGGATTAACCAAAAAAAGTAAAAATAGCATCTGTTCTATATATACATAAAATTTGGGGGGGATTAGCTAAATATGAATAAAAAAGACTTCAGTAATTATAACTGGGAAGTTATTCCTTTGTGCAAAGTAAACTTTTTAAGTTTTATCCTCTTTGTTTTTTGCAGAAATAGAAAACAAATGTCTTTTTTTTTAAAAAAAAAAGTATTAAAGTTGGTGAAGAATTTACATTTCAAGCCTTTCCCCACATTTTTAACACATTGTTTGCGGGTAGTTTTTATCGCATGCTAACAGGTGGCGCGGTCCCCGCGCTCTACTACCAGTCAACCTAAAACGTATAAGTAAAATGTATAAATACGTTTCCCGCATACAGTGTGTTAAAAAGTAGAAAGTAAATTTCAATTCCTTTTAGTTTCCCTGTAGTCACCAGGCACAGAGCAAAATTAATAGATGACCATTTGAAATAATCATCCTATCTAATAAAAGACAAAAAGGTAATTAACCGTACCTCTGCTACGCTTCCCATTGGCTAATCAGGGCGATATGCAAATTAACTGCCAACAAAGATGGCGGCCAGCAGCCACACAGCTGAAGTGAGCAGGAGATTTGCTTGCTCCAGTGATGGAGGAAGCCAAGGTTCCCCGCCTGTCGCGGCCCAGCTCTGAGCCCAAAAGCAACAATGTTTCAATTATAGAAGCTAAACAAACCCCAGATACCTGCTTTCAGCTGGCCGTGGCCTCAGAGCTGGGAGTGCCAGTGACGGCAACAATGTTTCAATTATAGAAGGTAAATAAATCTCAGAATAAAAAAAAAAAGGAGAGGCTGGGAGCTTCCGTCGCTAGGGGGGCTTGGCCAGCCTGAAAACGGACCTCAGCCCCTCACCCAGACTGGCCAGGCACCCCAGTGGGGACCCCCCCACCCTAAAGGGGGTGTGGCCAGCCTGAAAACAGCCATCAGCCCCTCATTCGGGCTGGCCAGGCACCTCAGTGGGGACCCCCACCCTGAAGCGGGTGTGACCAGCTGCAACCAGCCATCAGCCCCTCACCCAGGCTGGCCAGGCACCCCAGCGGGACCCCCACCCTGATCCGGGACACCCTTCAGGGCAAACCAGCTATTCCCCACCCGTGCACCAGGTCTCTATCCTATATAGTAAAAGGGTAATACGCAAACTGACCCTAACAGCAGAAAGACTGGGAATGACTGGTCACTATGACACACACTGACCACCAGGGGGCAGACGCTCAATGCAGGAGCTGCCCTCTGGTCCTCTCCCGCCTCCTCAGCAGCGCTAAGGATGTCCAACTGAGCTTAGGCCTGCTCCCCGCTGGCAAGTGGACATCCCCCGAGGGCTGCCGGGCTGCCAGAGGGATGTCTGATTGCCATCTTAGGCCCAATTCCCTGGGGAGCAGGCCTAAGCCAGCAGGTGGACATCCCCCGAGGGGTCCCAGACTGCGAGAGGGCACAGGCCGGGCTGAGGGACCCCCCCCCACCCCCTAGTGCACAAATTTTTGTGCACCAGGCCTCCAGTTTTTAATATTGGGCATATAGACAAAGTGGTCCTAATCTTAAGATTGCTTATTTAGAAAACATACTGAAAGACTTTGCACAGTATCTCTTCCCTGTTGATTATCTCACATCAAAATTGGGTAATTATGGCTGTTATATACACTTCCAAATTAATTACTAGATATCATGAAATCAAAAGTTGTATATTCAATTTTTTTTATAATAACTAAATAAAACCATCACTTTCTATATTACTAGTTTTGGAGAAGACATTTCATTTTGGTTATGAAAATTTTATAAATTCCTTTGTCCCAAACCCATTTCTAAAGTTGGTTTATTAGAATGTGCTGTGTGTTCTTATCCCAAAGATTCTCAACCAGACAGTTTGGGAATTGGATTGTTCCTCTTTCTGTGAGAGTATGCATACTTTCCTGGTCACATTTGGATTTTCCCACTCTTTTAAAACTGTAGTGAGATTTGTTATGGCTGCTGCTTATTTTAAACTCCCCTGCAGTTATTGAAGAAAACGATGTCAGTTTTTCTTTTTGCTTCTTTACAATTTAACAATACAGAATTATATTCTGTTCATTATTTTCATGCCCAGCACTAAGATAATTTCTTTTTTCATGAGTTCTATATCAGCCCTCTCTTACTTTTCTCCCTTCTTTTGTTTTTTTTTTGCAGTCTCTTTTTATTTGTTGCCCTTAACATTTGCTTGCCTTTAAAAATAGGAACTGTATATAACCTGCTTCCTCTTGTGTTTGGAAGAAAAGCCATCTGCAAATGTCTAAAGCTCTTTGAAAAATAAAAACAAAACCATTCAACTGAAGCAAAGGAAAGAAAGAAGATAAACCTTTCACTTAAAAGATAGACGCTTTGGGAGTGACCTGCCCAGTTAGGAATTTATGATCAGATCACCTGTGTGGTTACTTTTCATAGGACCCTTTTTTATATTCACATATTAATCTCTAGCCCAGAATTCTCTAAACCCCAGAGTTGTATATCCTGCTGGCAGTGTAAACTCACCACTTGGATGCCTAATAGGCATCTCAAACTTAGCTTGTCCAAAATCAAACTCCTGACACACCCCATCAGTTTCAGAACTCATTATTGCACATCCCAGATGCAATCCATCAGGAAATCATTTTGCTTCTACCTTCAAAATGTATCCAGAATCAAAACACTTCTCATACCTTCACTGCTTGTATTGGTTCAAGACACTGTGTCCTGTTTGGATTACTGAACTAGCCTAACTTGTCTCCCGTCTTTGACTTTTTCCTCCTTCAGACTAGTCTCAACGCAGCAATCAGTGAGCCTGTAAAATGTAAATCAGATCATGTCAGTCCTCTGCTCCAATGGCTTCCCATCTCATTTCAATAAAAAGAAGGCAAGCAACACATTTTTCTAATGGATAAAAGATACAAATAGGCATATTTCCAAAGATGTACAAGTGGCCAATAAGCACACAAAGAGATACTCAACCTTATTAGATGTTACGGAAATGCAAGTCAAAACCACTATGAGAAATCACTTCACATCCCCTAGGATGGCTAGAATAGAAAAGACAATAAG